TTAATTAGATAAGATGAGCTAAAAACAAACTAAGTTATGTTACCTTCCATTTATGTCCCTAAACAAGGCTTTTAATCAAATGTAATGTAACTTGACATGTGCAGTTTAAACCAGGGTAACCTACTGAGATTTCAGTTTAACCTGTGAGGATGTATTCCCTTCCCCTAATCCAATACATCCATTTTTCCCCAAACAACCAACTAATTATTCTTCAAGCAGTGAACATAGCAGGAGGAGCTACCTTATCATTTCTCACAATTAAGCCAAAGGCAAACAAATTCACTCTCAGGAGAAAGAGCAACAACTGAAAACATGTTGTTCATCTCTTAAAACATAACTTCACATTCTGACCTATCAAATATAATGTGCATTCAAAAAGATGTTGTTTCTTCATTGGGCTATTCCAATGGGGGCCAAGTTTTCGGCAGGTGTGCCACATATTAGCCCCGCACCTTCCACAAGTGCCACTGACCCCCTTCTCCTGCCTGATCTGCTGCTCTGCTTTCTGCTTCTTGCCTGATGTGCTGTTCTGTTTTCTGATCCCTCCACTGTACTCTCTGATGTGCTCCTTTACTTTCCTGCTTCCTTCCCTATCTGCTACTGTGCTAACTGACCCTTCTGCCACGTGCTACATGCCACACACAGACTGCCTGAGTCCTGCGTGGCCTATTCCATGGTTTCTATAAAATCAACAAGAAAATAAGTTATATGTATTAATTTACCCTCTCCCCTGGCCCCCAACATTAAAAAATGTTATTGGAGTTAGAAACTCTAACTTTTTTTATGAATTTGATACTTCATGTTTTCATAACTGGGTTACATTTTTTTGAAAAATGTTAAAGACACCTTCTACTTTATAGTAACCATATGAAATACTCTCTCAAAATTACATGAAGTGCCCCCTCTATGGGGCTTCTTACAAAATGTACTGAATCATAAACTCATTTCCTTTACAGAATTTCAAACACATTCAAAAGTACCATATTGTTACATTTGTGAAGATATGAACTCCCATCACTCATGCAATGTATGGCAGATTATGGAAAACAGTTAAATTACAAGAAAAATATATGACAAACGTAAGAAAATTATGTAAGCTACATTACATTTTAAGATATTATTCATGTCCACTCCTTTTCCCACAAATCTCTACAGTGATTTAATATGCAAGAAGCCAAGAAAAGTTAGCTACTATAAGTAATATAATAAGTCATTATCCTTTTCAGAGACCACAGCACACTAAGGCATCTAGATTTGACAAGAGAGTATAAAAAGCCACTACATAACCTTTTGAATATCAATCACTTCCTTCTAATCAGTTATACAATATGGAATGTGAAGGAACATAAAGCCTAAGAAACCCTTTTGTCATGCCACATAAATTCAAGTACTTCCCTGCTTTCAGACATCCTGAAAAAAAACTGGCATTGTCCAGATTACCAGGACAGAAGGGTGGGAAACTACCATGTAAGCAAAGCCTGGATTCTATCAAAGTGTCACTGAGAAACAAACAGAAAGAAAGAGAAATGGAAAGAAAGAGAGAAAGACAAAGACAAAAAAGGCAGGCAGAGATTACTTTTTATATTTCTCCCAAAATAAAGACTTAGTAAAGCAGATTCAGTTCAGGACAGAAAGGCTACACCCTGCAAATCTTCTGTGTTTACTTCTCTCAGCACAGCTCATATTGTTCAGACTAGTCTCCAACCCCATTTAGTCTCATCCCAAGCACTTTCTTTTGTTGCAAACTTTCCGGACTCCACAGCCCCACACGGTGTTAATATGAGGCAACAGGGTTTATGTCTAAGTGCTGCACAGAAACATTTTGCATTTAATAGGTTTTCCCCAGGCTGTATTCACAAAATAATGCACCAAATGCAAGAGATTTGGGAACCTTGTAAAGTTCCAGCCTGTAAAACCTGACAGTTGTCTTCCAATTATATTTCTGAAGTGCAAACCTCTGAGCCTCCTTCTCAAAAATCTCACTACTCCCAAAGGCTTGCCGTTCCAAAGCATGCAATAAAAAGACCATACAAAGAAAAAGGGAAACTCACCACCCCCATAATCTTCATCTTCTTGTGCTTTTATTGTTACAAATTGCCCTAATAAAGCAGCAAGGATTAAAAAAGTTCTTGTTTGCATCCAGCTTGCCATCATGTCTAAATATTAGACATGTGTGTCCTCCTGGAGAGCAAAAAGTGCAAAAATGAAAGGTTATTTTAGCACCATGAAGTCAGCTCTTGGGTCTTCCTTTCAGCACTAGGTCCGGGACAAAGTCTGCAAGCCCTTTCTCAGCACCAGCTCCGTCACAGTCTGCAAATACTTTTTTCAAGTGATGCAGCTTTAAATAGGAAGAATGCTGCCTCCACTTTTTTCCTGCCCCTTTCCAGCTTGTTCAGGCTCATCCAGTCCCTGCTAAGCAACAGTCTGATTGATGGTAAACATTTCGAATCAGAACTAGCTTCGCTTTTCCTTGAACTTTTCCTTTAACATGTATATTTTTCAGGATACTTTCCTGCTGTTGTAGCATAGAGATAATTTATCAGAACAATTCACTGTACAAACATATTTGGAGGAAGGATTGCTGGGGGGAGATCTGTCACTAAACATACTCAGTGCAGCTAAAACAGCTTGGAGTAGATGGAATAACCACTTCTATAGCCACTGAGAGGGGAATCTCTCCCATCTAAGCTGCTGGGAAGACGATTTCACCTGCTTCCTTGATAAATGACTGGAGTTATATTACTTCTCTACCCTCAGATTGTTGCGGCTCCTAACAACTACCTGCGTGAGTAGCCATAAGAGCTGTCGTTCCAAGTTAGTTGTTTTAAGGAGATTTACATTACCTCTCACTGCCAGGCATGGGAGGTATGACATCTTTCTCCAAATTAATGAGGTCATCTCTACCCTCTGACCTACCTGGTGGGACAACAACTGCAGCATTGCAAATGTATGAATAGAGGCTTTACTTCCCTGGTGGTAATTATAACTCAGGCCCTAGCAATGGGAAGTGTATCCCCCTAAATCTGTTCAACATTGGCAATTAGTCAGTAGATTTTTTAATTTTAAGACACTCCTGTGACTTCTCCAAGTGAACATTCGGAACACTGGCAGAGGACTCTCTAAAACTCTTCTGTATCCATTGGGCCACTCCTTAGCCTCTGGGAGAAAGACCCGCTTAAACACAGTCCAACCACAGTCCCGCTGACTTCCAGAAAAGAGACCGCCTGCACCTGCTATGGAGAAATATAGATATAACCAGTTGCATCCCGCTCAGCCATTTGAAGGGAAAAGGATAAAACATAGTACCAACATCCAGACAGTGATAGTCTAAGGCAGTCAAAGTACCAGTAAGTCTATACCTTAAGTCAGGGATACATTGACATTAAATTCCCCTGGTGATATATTCTATTCAGCTTGGCTTTTGAACTGTGTTCTGAAAAACTTCCTTCAAGTGACTTTTCTGATATGTTTGTAGCATCAGACACAAAGTGAAAGAAATTATAGAAATCATTTCAGTAACTACAACTTTGCTGACAATCAGTGTATTCCTATTAAGGGTCAATGGTTAATAAATTATTAGTTCAAGGTAACATTTTGAGCCTCTTGCTCTCTGTGCAGGAAGGCAGATATGCCTTTGGCCTGTCCATGCTCTGGCACCACTTACACACTCTGCCTGTGCCCCCTGACATCCTGGCACTGCTCCAGAGATGGGCGCTGGAGTTTTTCTGGCCAGGACGGTACTGGATCGCTGTGGCGGTCCTAAGCCTTCCCTTGCAGGAGAGTGGCCAGGTCCTGGTTTGCCTGCACAGCCAGGTCCTGACATTCCACCTTCAGGACCTGCAGCAACTACTGTACAGTGTCGGTAGCCGCACAACATGGGGCCACCTGGGGCACGACTTCCTCTACCACTTCCAGAGGCTCCAATACAACTGGCAGCTCCTTGGCCTGCGGGGCTTCTCCCTGCAGGACCTGCAAGGGGGGCTCCCAGAGTTTTACCAGGACCTCCTCCAGGCCTGGAGGCTGGTCTCTGCCTAGAGGTCCCCTGCAACACTCACCCAGGGTGCCAGCCTGCTCATTGAGCCCCTCCTCTAGAACCTCCAGCTGGGGGTGCCAACAGCAGAGGTGTCCCTGTTGTGACAGAGGTTGATTCCGGCTGTTGTCACCCATATCAGAGACCTCCTGGACTACGATAGGCAGAAGTGGGTGGACCCAGCTATACTGGCCAGTGCATGGGTCTACCCACGGCACACGCGACCTGCTGTCTGGTCCAGGAGATGAAATCTTCCCTACCTCCTGATGCCCTTGCCTTTGTTGACCAGGTCCTGTGTGGTGGCAGTCTCTGCCCCTCCCTCCCCGTGTGTCTTCCAGCTCCACCACCTAAGCCGGCTGGAGGACACCAAACTTTTCCACTTTTCCACCATCCATTGCTGCTACCTCTACATGCTTGTGTGCCACCTGAACCACCATGCCACTCTCTCTCTCCCAGACACCAAGTGGCAGGGCCTGTTCAGTGTGGCTGGGGCACCCCAGTGGCTGAGTCTGTTCTCCACTGTCATCCCACGAGCCACTGGGGACCTCAGCTGTTGGCTGGGGAGCCATCGCCATGGGTATATATGTGGTGAGCTTCACAGACACCCCAGTCTCCTGCCCCTTCTGTAGGCAGAGGGAGACCCTGGCACACATGACCCTTGAGTGCACCAGGCTGCAGCTCCTCCATCTCCACCTCCAGAACCTCCTCCTGAGGTTCTGGTTGAATCCAACCCCCCACCTTTTTGTTTCTGGTCACCCCATCCGTGCCCCCACCAAGTCCTGGGACCTCCTGGTCAACCTTCTGGCCTGGCCAAGTAGGCCCTGTACTTGACCAGAAAGGAGGCTCTGGCCAGAAAGGTGCCCAAAGACTGTGGGGCCTCTCACTTGTCTGTGCATGTTTCCAGGCAGAGCACCAATAGGCAGCATCCACTGGCTGTTTGGATGCCTTTCAGGACCGGTGGGTGTGGTGCAGGGGTCTCTGTTCAGTGTCCTCCTCCAGGGGACTTCTTTTCACATTTTGAACCTTTGACCCCCATGTCACTCCTACCCTTTTCTTCCTTAGTTGTCCCACAAAAAGAAGAAAAAAAAATAGCTGTATCTTTCAACCTTTGGCCCCACACAGTGGAGGCTATTAGTTAACTAGGTGGGCTTTAAGGGACTCTATCTCTGGAAAATACAAATAGATGTGAGCTTCTGGTTGAACTTAACCCCACACCTTTTTATTTTTGGCCATCCCATCTGCAGCGCCACCAAGTCCCGGGACCTCCTGGTCAACCCCCTCCTGGCCCTGGCCAAGTGGGTCCTGTACATGACCAGGAAGGAGGCTGTGGCCAGGAAGGAGCCCAGGAACCATGGGACCACATTTCTGTCACTTGTCCATGCGCATTTCTGGGTGGAGCACCATTGGGCTCCTTGGATGCCTTTCAGGACAGGTGGGTGTGGCTTGGGGGGCTCTGCTCAGTGTCCCCCTCAGGCGCATTTATTGTCACATTTTGACCCTTTTACCCACATGACACTCCCACCCTGTTTTTGCCTTAGTTGTCCCAAGCATTTTGTTGTGTTATTCATTCATTGGCCCCACACAGTAGGGGCCACTAGTTAGCCACTGCCTGGCTATGACCTGCTGCCATCTGTAACAGCATGTTTTCATGGCTGCATACCTGCCAGACCCAGATGGGGACTGCATGGCCTCAGCAGAGGCATCTGCACCTTTGGGCCAGATGCCAGTGGGCTGTGGCTGCACAGTTGGCCTTTGTGCGGCACTACTGCCATGTGTGCCACCACCCTGCCATCTGGGCAGCTATCAGGAAGATGCGGATTGGAAGATGTTCTCAGCGTACTGGCCTGCTTTGAACTGTCAAAGCATGTCCTTCTAGCCCCAAGTGGCCAGGAGGTCAGCCACCTCCAGCTGGGTCCTGGATGCCAGCCCTGAGCAGGCTCCTCTGCCTGGGTCCTGCCACTTGCCTCACTATCAGGAATTCTGGTGTTCCTTATTTAAAACTGCAAAATCTCTGATTAAAAAAATCCCAAATCCACACTTTAAAATACCCCAAAATACATGTTTTTCCCCAATTAAAACAAAAGACCACTATATATACACACACACACACACACACACACAGAGAGAGAGAGAGAGAGAGAGAGAGAGAGAGAGAGAGAGAGAGAAATCAGTTAGGCAATGTTTTATTGATATATTTACAATTTTACAGCAATTTGGAAGGCTACCAGTGTCTCTATCATCATAATAAAATAAATTCTAAATATCTATATGCTTTGATGTTTGCTTTTGGTTTTCTTATCATAGAACAATTAAAGCGTCCCCTGACCTCTTCACTAAGTAGGATGTGAAGACAGATGCCCCAACAGCCACAGATCCTGCCAGAAGTCTCATCCTGTCTGGCAGCTGGGTATACTGGGTGTGTGATGGGGGGATGTAGGGTTTGCAGGAGAGGGGTGGGAAGGGGTGTGGGGGAATGTGGTAGTGAGGCATGGGGTGTGTGGGCAGGTGTGGGGGGATTGTGAGAGAACTGTGGGGGGGCTGCTCAGGAGGTGTGGGTCTCCTGTCCCCCCACAGGGCAACAGCCCCCCTGTGCAGGGTCAAAGCCCTGCCCATAGGGCCCACAGCTCCCTTCACGGGGTGCACAGCTCCCCCTGCAGGGCCCACAGCCCCCCCAGCAGGGCCCATAGCTCACCCCCGCAGCAGCAGCAGCCATCAGGTACTCAGGGCCCACTGCTGTCAGACCTCCCATGGTGTGGCATGGTCTGGGCTGCCTCAGACCTGGCACTGCCTGTGCCTCTTGTCATGGGCCCAGCCCAGTACAGCACAGCATGGCATGGGGCTGTGCACCTTTCTGCAGGTCCCGGCCACTTGGGGTGTCACCCAGGGGCCAGTGCCACTCACAGGGACCACACATCACACCGGACCAGGTCCTGCCTCCACAAAACCAGCCCAGCCCAACAGCATGCAGGGCCCAGGGAGGCAGGACCCAGCCCAGGGTAATGCATGGTCCCTGCAAGTGGCGCTGAGCCCTGGGTGACAGCTCAAGCAGCCCAGAGCTGCAGAAAGGCAAACAGCCCTGTGCTGAGCTGGATGGCCCCATGACAAGTGGCACAAGTGGTACCAGGTCTGAGGTGGCCAGGGCCGTGTCACACCATGGGGGGTTCTGATAACAGTGGGCCCTGGGTGCCCAACAAACACTGCTGCAGAGGAGGAGGGGGCAGTGCACCCTGCAGGGGACCTATGCCCCCCAACCAGCTCTCTCCACCCTCACATAACCTCCCCACAGTCCTCCCACACATGC